AGGTGGAAGCCCGGCCCTGGCAGGGATGCAGATCGGCTAGCTGAAGACATGTGCGCCCCTCCCTTTAGCTGTCAGACTGTTGGAACAATGGTCTCCAAAGAACTCAAATTTCCCAAAGTCCCATGCTGTGTATCACAGGGACTATGATGCTCTGGCCTCAGCCAAAGGAGGAACTTGTCGTGTAGGAAAAGATTTCATGCAGGTCTGGTCATTTACCTCACTGACTACATCAGCATATGCACACAAAGGCCTTTGTTTCATCGCTTCTATGAAATTGTAATGTTGCAGAGGAGACAAGGAAAAGCAGACATTTTCGCCCTGGTGTAGGCAAAGTATAAATTCATTTTCCATTACCAAGTTGAATTTCCTCATTTTCGCCTTTTAAATAGACAGGGAAATCTAACTGCAGACTGGGTGTCTGACTAAATCTACTGTGCGGATGTGAATCTGTGCACTGTGTATCTCAGGGCGTGCTTAACTCCTGCCCCTGTGTCCCTGTGGTGGTCACCTTGGTCCTGTACACTGCACACCTGCCTGATCCAGGTGCCACAGAAAGCAAACTGGAAGAGGAAAATGCATCTGTCTCCACACTTGCACAAAGAATGAATTGGGACAAAGGATCCCCGGATGCCAGGGCCCAGCCATGAAACTTCCATTTCTTCGTTGGCAGCTTATGTGTCCCCTGCTGTGCCCACGGAGACAGACCCTGCTGCCCTCAGTTCTCAGCAGGTGAACATCACTGAAGTCTGATGCAGGAGCCATGGTGATGCCTGGCTGGTTCATGTCTCTGGGGAAAAACTCCACTTCTCTTTTTTGCTTTGCTAAAGTCAGTAACAATCGCCTTGGGGTTTTGTCACTTTTCAAGCCAATTTATTTGAGAGTAAGCTGTTCTCCTGGATCCTGAGTGCACTCAAAGACCCTAGAGAAATGACTCAGCTCTTTATAAGTTTTAACCCAATCACAGCTGACAAGGGATGCTTTAACTTGATGCCTTCCTCCCTGGCCTATATCAACTGTGGGAAACTCTCCACGTTTTCTTTTTTGAGGACTCTGTGGCTTTTCAATGGCATCTGTTCCTTGGAGTTTCAGTACTTTATACAAAGGCTATGAGAAGAAGAAAAAATTAGAAAACCCAATTTATTACAGGTCCTTGCTTGTTTCCTGTGTCTCTGAGCACCTCTTGGGGGAGGGGGAGTTAGCTGGCCGTGCTGGGCTGGCGTCCTCAGGTGTTGGCCATGGGTCTAATTCTTCCTGCCTGAGGAGGAGCAGGACAGAGTTGAGGGTAAAATGCAAAGATGCAAAGGTCAAGTGTGAGTTCAATGCTTCCGTGAAGGATCAGCTGTGTGTGTCCGTGCCTTACTTTTCTGTTGCTGTGGTAAAACACCATGACCAAGGCAACTTATAAAAGAAAGTCTTTAATTGGGATTATGGCTTCAGAGAGTTAGAGACCTGATGGCAAATGAAGGAACAGCTGAGAGTTTACAAGGCGGAGAGACAAGGACAAGGCAGAGAGAGAGAGAGAGCACTGGGGATGGTGTGGGCCTTTGAAACCTCAAAGCCTGCACTTGGTGTGGGCCTTTGAAACCTCAAAGCCTGCACTGAATGACACTGCTCCTCCAATAAGGCCACAGCTCTTAAGCCTTTCCAAACAGTTTCAACTTTGGACCAAGTGTTCAAACATATGAGCCTTTGGGAGCTATTCTCATTCAAACCACCACAGTCAGTATAGGAAGAAAATACATCCCCTCCTCCCTTTCTCTGAAGCAATTCCACTTAAGATTCAAGTACCAGCTGAGTACTTGTTTGACTCTAATACCAGTACTCTGAAGGTGGAGCCAAAGAGAATTAGAAATTCAAGGCCTTCCTTAACTAGAAGCCTTAATCCCAGACCAGCCTGGACTACATACATGAGACTTGACCTCAAATAAAAAAAATTTAAAAAAAAAAAATTTTTTAAAGTGCAGCCCTGTTTCCCTTCTCTCTATAAAATGCTTTTAAAATAATAATAATAAACTATTCCTGCTCTTGTGGCCTTGGTTCTTTAAAAGTATATAGCCAGAGCCAAGCACCTATCACTTCCATTGTATTCAGCATGAGAAAGTGGAGTTTATATCTTTCAGAAATAAGCACTCATGCCAGATAGTGGTGGCACACACTTTTAATCCCAGTGCTTGGGAAGCAGAGGCAAGCAAATATCTGAGTTCAAGGCCATCCTGGTCTACTAAGGAACTTCCAGGATGGCCAGGGCCACACAGAGAAACCCTGTCTCTTGGAAGAAGAAGGAGGAGGAGAAGGAAGAAGAAAAAATAAGCACTCACGCCCAGCGCAGTGGTGCACATCTATAATCCCAGCACTCAGGAGGCAGAGGCAGGCTGATCTCTGTGAGTTTGAGACCAACGTGGTCCACAAAGCAAGCCCAGGATAGCCAAGGCTACACAGAGAAACCGTGTCTCAACATCCACACTGTGTGCCTCAATGCCTTCTGTAACTCTAGCTACAGAGATCTGAGGCCTTCTTTTGGTCTCCACAGGCACCTGCATTCATTCATACACAGATACAATATATAGAATTAAAAGTAAAAGGGGCTGAGAAATAAAAAATAAGAAGAAGAAGAAGAACTAAAAAGATGGCTTAGCAGTTAAGAGCGTTCGGGTGTGCTGCTCTTCCAAAAGACCAGAGTTCCGTCTTCCGGAACTCCACCAGGTGCATCGGAACCACCTGTAATTCAGTCCCAGGGGGTCCCAACTCCTCTGGCTTCTGTTGGGTACCTACACTCTCTTGCACATGCCTATACCATGGGCCCATGTTTGCACACACACATAATTAAAATAACAAAAATATGCCTTTAAAAATAATCTTTTTTAAAAAGTTCATTTTGTATAACTAAGTAACAGCTGTCTGTGAATGTATGCTCCTGATATCCATATACTCTCCCCTTAACAGTAAAATAATTGGCTTAAGAATCATCTGGAGGACTCAGCGATCGAAGCATGTGCTGCTGCCCCAGAAGATTCAAGCTCTGTTCCCAGCACCCATGCCAGGTGGCTTACAAGCACCTTGAATTCCAGCTCCAGGGCATCAGACCCCTCTAGTCTCTGAGGGCACCTGCACAGACACTCACACAGACACACAGACATATAATTTTTTTTTAATTTTTCAAAGACTAGTCTGCACCCGCAGATAGCTCAGGAGGTAAGGGCACCTGCCAAGCAAACGTGCCAACCTGAGTTCAATCCCCACAAGCCTTGGAAAGGTGGAAGGAAAGAGGGAGTGCCACCAACTTGTCCCCTGACCTCCACATACGCACCTTAACACACGGGTATGTCCTCCCCACCCACAACACACAATAACAATATAAGAAGCATCCAGAGCAATCTCTGCTCACCTGTACCTGCTGCCCTTCTTCTCCCAGAGCATCCCCATACCTTCACCAGGGTACTTGGTTGGCTACTGCAGAATATCTACAGCAGAGCTGAGGCCATGTTGGTTTGCACAAGTCTTTAATTCTCAACAGGTGGGAGTTTCACTGGCCCAACGGGATGGGATCTGTCCCTGTGCTGTGAAATCAGTATCACAGATCAAACAACGAGGGATATGGATGTGCTCAGATGAAGCAGTCTGAACCACATGCTTTGTAGACACACTAAAGACACTGTAATAACCACTGGGCAGTGTGTCCGTTTTCCTGAAATGTTTGTTACGAAAAGTAAATCGCCACTGTTTGCCTGACGTTTGTGAAGTTTAATCTTAGATGAAAAACGGTTTAGATTGCCTGAAAGAAAAACAGCACACATCACACACAAGCACTAATAATAAGGTCGAATATGGTTTGTAAAAGGGCCAGTGAGATGGTTCAGCCAATAAAATGCTTACCATGCTGAGCCATGCTAAGTCATGCAACCTGCCAAGCTGAGCTCAATTCCCACAACCCTTGGAGGTATAGAAAGAAGCATGGCCGCCTTCACACACCGCTCCACACCTCCACAGACAAATAATGAAATTTAAATTTATTTATTTTGGGTGTTTTGTTTTGTTTTGAGACAGTATCTCACCATGTAACCCTACCTGGTCTGAAAGTTACTCTAGACCAGGCTGGCCTCAACCTCACAGAAACCTGCCTCTGCCTCTCAAAGGCTGAGATTAAAGGTGTGCAACACTGTGCCCAGAATAAAACAATTATTTAAAGAATGTGAGCTGTTTCTCTTCTTAAGGATGTACTCTAACTTATTATCTTTGTTTGTTTATAACAGTCTTTTTTAATAGAAAAAATTTAGATTTCTTTATTTTGTATATATGAATATTTTCCTTGCCTGTATGTGTATATATATCTATATCTATATCACACGCAGGCCTGGTACCCACACAAATCTGAAGAGGGCATCAGATCCCATGGAACTGGAGTTACGGACGATTGAGAGCCATCATGTGGGTGCTGGGCACTGAGCACTCGTCCCCTGAAAGAGCAACAAGTGCTCTTAACAGCTGAGCCAGCTCACCGTCCCCACATTCTTTTTCTTATTTTATTTTCTTTTTTGTTTTTTGAGACAGAGTTTCTCTGTGTAGCCCTGACCATCCTGGAACTCACTCTGTAGACCAGGCTGGTCCCAAACTCAGAGATCCACCTGCCTCGGGAGTGGAGTGCTGGGATCAAAGGCGTGTACCACCACTGCCAAGAACAGCAGTACTTTTTTTTTTTTTTTTTTTTTTTTAAGAAGGAAAGATTTTCCTTATTAAGGTAGAGACTGTTTGTGAAGTGGCCTGTAACAGCTAAAGCACAGTCTTCTGGAACATTGTCACTGTGGAAATTTGCCCTGAAAGCTTGTCATGGAGCAGCCCTGAGCCCTGCTTCCTCCTGGACACCTGGGCTGATCTCAGCAAGTGCTCCATACCTCAGCTCTGTCGATGCCCAGCTCTACCTGTACCCTGTACCCATAGCACTCCTAAGTAAGGCTTCTTGCCGTACCTTCCTTGCTCATCTAGATTCTCTCTTGTCTCCGCAGTTCTGAATGACATCATTTCAACCATGTTCAACAGGAAGTTTATGGAGGAGCTGTTCAAACCCCAGGAGCTGTACTCCAAGAAGGCCCTGAGGACTGTATATGACCGCCTGGCCCATGCTTCCATCATGCGGCTGAACCAGGCCAGCATGGATAAGGTGAGCAGGCAGCCACTTAGTCAGCTTGTGGATGGTCCTAGACAGGACCAAATAGGATTTCATATGCAGTGGTGTCTTGGGAAAAACAAGGACGTGTAAACATGATCTGTGGTCATGTTGTCAGGTTGAGAGGATCTCGGGAGGCATCTGTACCAATCTCTCTGTTGAGTTTCACCTGTCCAGAGACAGCTCAGCTGTTCTGATGCCTATTTATGGGCATGAACGTGTGCTACCCCGGACCTAGTACTCAACTCCCTAAGCTTTACCTCTGGGAAGAGGGCAAAGAGGGCACCTAGGAAAGCCAGTGTGACCATAGCATGATGTGGATATGTTCAGAAGTCACAGTGAGGCCCATTAATATGAGCAATAAATATGCCTTAATAATTAGGTTTTAGCCGGACATGGTGGTGCATGCCTTTAATCCTAGCACTTAGGAGACAGAGGCAGGTGGATCTCTGTGAGTTTGTCTGGTCTACAAAGTGAGTCCAGGACAGCCAGGAAACCCTGTCTCGAAAAAAAAGGAGGGGGGAGTTGTTTGGCTGCCCCACCAACAATCCTAGTAAGAATTTGTTACTTTAACAGTTACCAGGCTTCCCTCCTTATTAACTCTATAAGGTCTCCTGCCAGCCCTTGAGTATGCAGATGAAGTATCTTCCAACACCCCTGTCGTGGCCATTTGTACATGACCACACAATCCTTGCCCCAGAGACCCTGGCCACCTCCCCAAGGGCATAAATATCCCTTTCTCCCTGCCCAATAAACAAACCAGTTCTTGGAAGCTGTTTCTGGTCTGCTCTTTGCCCACACACTGACCTCCCCCGGCCAAGCTTCATTCCCTCCAGTCCAGCCCAGTGCACAGTGGGCCTGGACACCCTGAGGAGACACAGAAATGGGGTCGTAGTCCAGTGCCCAGTCCAGAACTCTCAGCAGGCAATGTGGTTTCATGTGTCCCAGACACAGAGGGTGACCAGAAACCATGGTTTGCCCAGGGATCTTCTGGCTACTCCTGTTGTCTTAACTCAGTTACTGGCATCACCCTTTCAAATTCCCAGAAGTGCTCTGGCTTGGATGACAACCCATATGGTTGCCTGAGGCAAGCCCGTGGCTGCCTTGAAGCAATGGCTCTGTTCAGGTTCTGATCTGCTTTTATGGTCCCATCTATTCTGTGTCTTGGTTGACAGCTCTATGACTTGATGACCATGGCTTTCAAATATCAAGTGCTACTGTGTCCACGCCCCAAAGATGTGCTGCTGATCACCTTCAACCACTTAGACTCCATCAAGGGATTCATCCAAGACTCCCCAACCATCCTGCATCAAGTAGACGAAACCTTCCGGCAACTGACAGAAGTAAGCATATCACCAGCCTGTTCCTTCCCTGGCATAGCCCTCGTTCTCAGCCAACTGTAAGAACTAACAGACCCTATGATTACAATGACAGGGTCAAAGCCTGCCACTCTCCTACAACATTCTAAAATCCCACAACTGCCTATTTTGTAACTACCATGGGCAATTATCATCTTATGCTTTCTACTGTGGCTTTTGTAGTGGGAAAATAGCACAAAGAACTTTCCTCTGGCATCTGAAAGGGTGTTGGGAGAGCATGTCTGCTCAATAGTGGGGAGCAGACACTCCAGGCCTGTAGAGAACGTGGCATGGCAGGTTTGTTCCACTTGGGAGGGAGGGTGCTGACACTCCCACTGCCAGGGTCCCTGCTTATCAGAGTCCCACATAGGTGTCCCAACCCTGCCTGTCCCCACAACTCAGCCCATGGTGGAAAGTGCAATGCTTCCCCCCGCCTTGCCTTGGCAGGTATATGGGAGTCTGTCTGCTGGGGAGTTCCAAATGATCCGGCAGACCCTGCTGATCTTCTTCCAAGACCTGCATATCCGAGTAAGTCCCTGGAACACCCTCTCTGCTACTGCCCCGCCCCCAAGCCAGTCATCCAGAAAAACCAGGAACAAGATTTTTCCCAGCTAGTGATTCCCATCATGCTTTGGATATGTGGCTCTAAGCATTCTCATAATAGATTTAAGCCATCATCTCCCCAACTCCATTAAAGCTTCTTTGAAATGTGGGCTCATCCTTAGCTTCTATAAAAGAACTGTGCTGTTCAGGTACTAGTGTGACCTCAAAGCTTATCTCAGGCTCATCGTCCTCAGTGTCCCAGCATCAGACACTGTCACATGGCTACCCTCCTGCTCCATGAGACGCACCCTTCCCTGGCTTTCCCACTTTCTTTCGGTCTTTCCTCCTCCTGCCTTTGCCCATCCACCTACTTCCTGAGATCTATCACAGTCAGGCCCAGTGAGCCTATAATTCCATATCTGCCACTAGATGATTGCCTGAAAGCCAATTGAGCCCGACTCTCCAGCTTCTGCTGAGGATGCTTCCTCTCCACCACTCACTTGGCTCAGAACCAGTGTCATTCTGATTCTCCATCCTTGATTTGTCCAGTTGCTTCTAAAGTGTATAGGATTTGCTCTTCCTACAGTTCTGCCCTTCTCTCCAAGCTGCTGGCACATTAGGCTCACATAATTTTTTCCCCCAGTTTCTGGGACCCTGACCAAGTCCCTGTGTATGCTAAGCAAGTTCCCTACCATTGAGCTAGGATTTAGCCTGCATTCATTTTTTGCATGCTGTTGTTCCCCTAAATGTCCCCCTCTCATTATGCCACACCTACTCCAAACAGTTCTATACCCTAACTTTCAAAAACACACTTCTAAACTTGTGTTTTTGAAAGGGGTGGGGCAGCAATAACTCTCCTATGTAGGGTTTTGTTCCATCCTAAAGTTGAACCAACTGAGGTGGGAAGATGGCGTGCCGCAGCAAACCCAGCTCTGGCCCTGGTGCCAGACAGTGTCAGCCCCACGTTGAGCCCTGTGCTCTTGACTCCTGTCTCCTTCACTGAAAGTGGAAATGAAAGGATGTAATTTGGAGTTTGCTGGAAGAACCCAGTGAAGGAGCATATATAATGTATGTGTGCTCAATGTGAATGATATAGAACACATCTACAAAAGATAGGCAAGATAGTGCTGCCTCCTGGGAGTGAGGGAGGATGGAGGATGAGGCGAACAGGGAGACACAGCCCTTTCTGTTCCTTTGGAACCCAATACCTATGCACGCACAAAAACCAAACCAAGAAGAGGACTAGAATACTGTTTGTGCCTGAATGCATTTTTTTTCCCCAAAGGCAGGATGACAAATAAATTTCGGCCCTAATGCCAATTTTATTTTTAACACTCATGAATAATTTCATTGTATTCACTATGGATGGAGCAAGAACAACATGAATCTAAACTAAGATCTCTAATGTTCGCGGGTGAAAACATAAAATTCTGAAAGTACAAGCAAGATTAAGTTTGCAGCAGATTTAAAATCAATTTGAACATAATGAAAATTCCACTTAGTAGTGTTACCAGGGCCATGCATATTTAGGCATATTTTATAGATTGTAATAATATAAACAGCCATATTGATTTCTCAGTTGTGAGGAGATAAAATCCACTGTAATGAAAAGACAGGCCTAATCATAATTCTATAGTGAAATGTTTCATGCTACTAAATATACTTTAATTGCTAAATGGGTAGACAAGGAAACATCAAAATTATAGTTAGTCATGGCAGTACAGGCTGTAATGCACCATTTGGGAAGTGAGGCAAGGGGAACAGGAGTTCAAAGTCATCCTTAGCTCTATTGGTAGGGGCGGGGAGTTGAAGCAGGATGATGAATCACACAGCTTGGCAGTCCTCTTCCGATGATCTGAACATCTGGGCTGGCTTCCCATGTCTGGTCTTTACTAATGTTTCTGTTCAGCTGCAACTTGTGATTGCCTATACAAATTTTCTGTTTTCAAAATAGTCTTGCTAGTTTTTAAGATTTGTTAGCAAAACCAACTAAATCAAGAAAACACAGCTCTGCACCAAGAACTCTTGCCATTTTAAGCAGAGCAAATACAAAACTGCATGTCCAATACCAAGCTTTCCATCTCATGAAACCACATTTGGCATCATAAATGCGGCCTGTTGAGGTTCAGGAAGAGCTGCTCACTGGCCACTCAGACACTAGACTCAAACTGACGAAAGTTTACGCTTAGCAAAGTCTAACTGGTCAGAGACACAGTCTGGATTTGGGATCCAAGACTGTGATGCCAATCAGCTTTTAAGGCAGGCTGTCTCTAAGAAAAAACTAACCAGGGGAGGGCATGGCATCACTTTGACTAGCTAGACAAAGTGTTTCTAACTGACCTTTAATTTGATTGGTCCTGCAGTGGGGACTTTATAGAATGTCCAGGTACATTGTGCCTAGGTATCGAGACAAAGCATTTGAAGCTGATTCACTGGTATATAGGGCAGGTGAACTTGGGGATTTTCCAGTTCCCTCTCTTGAGGGTTTGGGACCTTCCAGCTCCCTGCTCCCATGAAAAAGGAACATAGCAGGATATTATGATTTAACTCAGGAAGAACATACATTTATTATTAATTTAAGCAGAACATGTATTTATCATCTTATTATTCTATTCTAAGCAGCAAGTATCGAATTGCACACTATGTGACGCAGTAAGGCCTAGACATGTCTAGACGGGCCTCAACATGGCCAAAGTCCTGACCTGTCCATAGGGACCTGGACAGAGACAGACTGCACTAAGACCACTTCCATTTAGGTTCCTTGAGAGTTGATTACAACCATCTCAGCCTCACAATACCCTTCAGCTACTTATCAAACCCCAGGCTTGACCTCACAGAGATCCACCTGTCTCTGCCTCCTAAATGCTGGAATTAAAGGCATGCACCACCACACCCAGACTTCCACCTCGTTTTCTGAGATAGAGATTCCCATTGGGATCTGAGGCTGGCCAAGTAGGCTAAGCTGGCTGGCTGGCAAGCTCTTGGGAGCTGCCCGTCCTTATCTGGTGTTATAGGCATGTACCTATCTAGGGCATTGGTCAGTATCGCTTGTCCTGAGTGTCTGTCTCTGGATGGACAGGGCTCTCCGGCAGCAGCTGCAGCTGAACTCTGAGCCGTCTTCCTCTCACAGTAAAGCCAACCACACCTATTTTCATGTCCCCCCCCAGAAGTTGGCGCTCCATGCTTGCACAGCATGCAGTCAGTACACCTGCTGTCTGTCTGTCTGTCTCTGTCTCTGTCTCTCTGCCCTCCACCCCAAGACAAATTTTTGGCAGGCTCATGAAAAAAGTGGGGAAGAGGGACAAAGGAGACTTCCTGGCTCAGTTACCTTACTGAGGATATGGCCCCAGGTCTTGGTAGGGGAGGCTTCAGTACTTTCATATGGGAAATGCAGGAGTCAGAAATGTGCCTGCAGCTGGATATAATCTGGTAGGCAGCAGGAAGCCAAGGATATTAAGAAAGGTTCATGGTTGCTGAGGAGTCCAGAAGGGTGTCTTCATCACTAGAATGGAGAGTTGGCTCAAAACAGATGAGGAAGGCAGGAGAAGGGGTCAGCAGTGAGGAGCAGAGGGTAGGGTGGCCAGGTGCCAGGAGCCCATTACATTGGCATGGCTTGGCATCCAAGGAGATAAAGGAAGGTGGTTGAAGGTGGCTCAGATTGCCATCTTGGTGGCCTGATAGTGGTACTCACTGAGATTGGAAATTTTAAAGGATGAGGGAGTCTGGGAAAGATAAAAGTGAACATTTTTCTGAGGGGGGTTAGAGGAGCATTCATTCAATGGACTCAGCTTTCTCATTTCTGCTAAACTCATATTCCTTCATCACAGAATCTGAAGGTGAAATTTTTCTTTCTTTCTCTCTCTCTCTCTCACTTTGTGTGTGTGTGTGTGTGTATGGTTTTTCAAGACATGGTTTATCTGTGTAGTCTCTTGGCTATCCTGGACTTACTTCATAGACCAGGCTGGCTTTGAACTCACAGAGATCTGCTTGCCTCTACCTCCCAGAGTGCTGGGATTATAAGCATGCACCACCATGCCTGGTATGAAAATTTTCTTGAAGGTCATTCACTTACCTCTGACCAAGCCAGTTTACCCATTCCCCTCAGAACATGACTTGTGCCTGCTCTTTGCTGCTTCTGAAGCATCATACACAATACCTGCTTCCCCCAAAGCAAATAGCATCCCAGCCACCAGCATCCCTGGCCTGGCATTGTTCTCATCAGTGGACTGCTATGCTCAAGTATACTGTGTGGACTGTCTTGCTTTATGGTGTGTTTTGGTTGTTTTTCTGTTTCTGTGGTAAAACACCATGACCAAGGCGACTTATAAAAGAAAGCATTTCATTGGGCGTACTTGCAGAGGGCTAGAGTCTGTGATGGCAGTGTGAAGGAGCATCTAAGAGCTCACCTCTTGATTTACGACCATAAGGCAGAGAATGAGCAAAAGAGCAAGCAAACATTAAATCACAGAAATCTTTTGAGACCTCAAAGCTTCCCCCAAGGACACAGCTCCAACAAGGCCACACCTCCTAATCCCTTCCAAACAGTTCCACCAGCTGGGGACCAAGTATTCAAGCATATGAGCCTGGGTGCCTTTGCATTCTCATTCAGGCCACCACATGGTGCTTTTACATGTATGCTGTGTCCTGTGTCCAAATAGGCCTTTTCTTTTTTTTCTTCCTTCCTTCCTTCCTTCCTTCCTTCCTTCCTTCCTTCCTTCCTT